TCTCTCTCTCTGCTGTCTCTTCTCTCTCTCTCTCCTGTCTCTTCTCTCTCTCTCTCTCTGTCTCTCTCTCTCTGTCTCTCTCTCCTGTCTCCTCTCTCTCTCTGCTGTCTCTCTCTCTGCCTCTCTCTCTCTCTCTCTCTCTCTCTCTCTCTGCTGTCCGTCTTTTCTTACTTACACTGCAGCAGCTTCCCAAGTCTCCTCTCTCCTTCCCATCTGCGGCGTCTGACACATTCAGCACCACGGGAGGACAGGACACAGGTCAGTGAGCCGATCGCGATCTACCTAATAGGCACCCCTGTATTAGACAGTACACTCCCCGCCTGGTATAAATATATACCACTACTTGTCTTTAACTTGTGTGCGAAAAATGAAACTATAAAAAACAGCTCCTAGGCAGTCAGCTGTCGCATATCTCACTCCAGCCTCTCTCCTTTCGCCATTCCTTCTACACTGCAACATTGGCATGTTCCTCGGCATCCTCACGTCTATACATAGAATGTGATTGATTTACGGAACCTTAGACCGCTGTAGAGGAGGGGGAGAGAGGCTTGAAGCACTGGTCTAAAGAACAAGCCAGCTCCACAGGTCTGGTGAATATAACTTTTTTTATTTGTTTGCACCTAGACAATAATGGGCAATTAAGAAAAAAAATTGCCTGGAGTTCTGCTTTAAGATTGCCAGATTATTAAAAGGTTGGAGATCTCAAATGTCAGGCAGTTTTTAGGACCTCTAGATACCATGATGCTGCCTTAAAACTGGAATCCAATTGCATACAGAGATGTAATGTATAAAGCCAATATTTTAATATTTGGCAATGTGTTTTGTCTTGTGCCTCACGACGACATGAATTTATGTGCTATGGCTTTAAATAATGTTGTATAAATGGCATGTACGTTCATGGCTGACACAATGTTTGTCTTTTACAGCTGTTATCCATGGTGGCATTTATATGTGAAGAGATCATCGATAAGTGTGAAACTTGTTCCGGATTATACATCTTTGAGTTTGTCAGCTGCAGCGCCTCTTTAATCAGCATCCTCATGCTTGTGGTTTACATCTCACCACTAAAAAATAAAATCAACATTCCAAGCTTCAAGAAAGTTGTAAGTATACCTGTATACGGGGATCTACCCTAAGCGTATCATTTTAAAATAGCCTGAATGTAACGGGAAGGTTCATTATAGAGCAGACTTGCAGCTTGGCTGTACAACCACCTGTGAAAGTATTTGAGGGTTGGTGGCAGCCACTGTGGGCCGCCAAGCGCCATACAGTCTGGTTTCAGTAAAGCAACACTCACTGCAGCCAGTAATCATTTTGCAGGTTGCCCACAATTTGTTTTAATAAGGTCTGCAGTTTGCCACTGAACTCAACATGGACCTGAATATTTTTTATCATTATAGAAAACCTCAAGCATTGGTAAATGTGCCTAAACAGCGCCCTAAAATATTTACCATTTGTCTCTAATCCCTCCAGGAAAATAGCAGTGCCAGTGCCTAGACCTTCACAGCTGTACTGTATATCTGCAGTATGAGATCTAAGGCACTGCTTCATCTGACTGCTAGTCTCACAAGATTTGGAGTGAGATTTGGTGATGTCACTACTACAGCTCACTGTTCTGCTTGCTGGAGAGAAAGCTGTACAAGAGGACCTGCAGTGCAAGGTTCATTCATTCTGGGACGGAGTTTTCTGACCATCTCCTCCGGCTTCTTCTTGAATATTACCCTACTATCCATCAGATCACCAGTCATCAGTGGGCAGCTCTGAGATGAGGAAGCATAGTTCTGCTCCTCTACCAAGATGGCCATCCCCACACAGCGACACAGTGCAGAGCAAGGTGTGGTAAGTCAGTAATGGGGGAAATGATCAGTTGTAGGGAGCCTACAGGCAATACTGGTAACTAGTTCTTTGTCCTCTTGTGTGCCATTTTTAAAGAAACCTAGGGTGCTATTTTGGACCTCCCCCTGAAAGTAAAGTTACCTTGCTGTCACCGGGTTCAGTTTTCTGAATTACATCCGTAGAACATACATGCAGTGAGTTCAGAATTCCTGATTTGCATATGTGTTCTGGTCCATTGATACTTGCTTCCTCATGATGGTTTGCTTTGCATATCTGATCAGTCTCTCTCACACAAGTGTATTAGCTGGCTTTTGTTGCATCCTCTCCAACCACTGACATTCACAACAACACAAGCCGACCGTCCAGTCTTTTATCATCTGAATAGCTGGATGCGGGTCTGGGCTCAGTATTTCACATTACTTAAAAGAAGCAGGCAGAGGAGATCAGAGAAGGCCCAGGTCTGCATGGCAGAGCTGAAGATGTTCCCCCTGGCTACAGTGGCAATCGCAACCGCCGTCTCCTTTGTCCAGTGCTGTAGGATTGCAGTCCTGGAAGGGGTGACCAGCACTATAACAAGGCTGTAGAGCAACCCTTGCACAGTTTTGAATGGGGCCAAGTGCAATGTACACTGGGTCCTCTGGGGGCTTAACATGCGTTGTTTTATCTTCTTGTGAGACTTTTTTTCTTTAAGGAGTACTCATGTGAACATTAAGGCTGAACCTTGTTCTCAAGGATTATCATAGCATGTAACTGAAATTCCATACAAAGCAAGAAGGAAGATGAGTGGCTTTTCTGACCCTTTTTAGCTGTGTGTAATGTACAGGGTGGTGTGCTCCAGAAAACGTTTAATTACCCACCCTGACTAGATCTGTAAAAAATAAGTCAAGGCAACTGTATTTTTCTTGAAGACGTTTCGCTGGCCATCCAACCAGCTTTCTCAATTTAGAAACTGACTAGTTCTCCTGCCCACCTAGCTGTGTACCTGCCCACCTAGCTGTGCACCTACCTAGCTGTGTACCTGCCTGATTGGGAAAGTCTCAGCCTGCCCCCTTTTACACCCTCTGGCCTGATTCTTTTGGCTGTTGTCTATGCACATTTCCATAACATTGTACATTTTTATATGATAGTATTGGCACTTTAGTATTGTTTAAAAACATCAGTCTGCAATTCCCGTTATTATATGATAACTGACAGTGGGTTTCAGTCACATGGTGAGTCTCATTTTGATTAGTCAAATTTAAGGAGCGTCTTATAGCAGCCAACTTCAAACATTAGTTCTTCTGATGCCATTTTTACATGGTGCACCGAAATGAAAATGTAAAAATCGAAATTTTAAAAAAATGTCAGGCCGAAACCGAAAATGTATTTTATTTTTTATAAACTTTTATATTTTTATTAATTTTTTTGTTAAATATTTTTATTTTTTACTTTTAGGTGCTTCGGGGAAATATTGGGGGTCTAAACAGACCCCTGATATTTCCCTTTTTTAGAATGGAAAAAGAGATTGAGGACTTTGTGTCCTTAATCTCTTTTTCTGCAGTCTCTGTTTTATAAATGAACAGGAATCCTCTATACTGAGTGTTCCTGTTCATTCATAACATGAGGACCGAGTATAAATGATAAACATCCCATCATTTCAATCACCCTAAACTGAAAGGAACCTTAAAGTATAATTAAACCCTTGCGTGTTTTTGCATATATCTATCTAGATATATACAAAAACATTTTAAAAAAAAGTTTGCAAAAGGGTTAAATGGGCAGTACAGATCTTCGGCCGGGAGAAGAGAGACCCAGGGTAAGTTAATACAGGCAGCCGGGGGCGTGCAAGCGGACAGATACCGTGGGACACAGAGGGCACAGCAGTCAGCGCTGGATCAGAGACCGGCACCAACGATGGAGGGATTCCTGAAAACTAATGTGTTTTAGTCTTTATTGAGCGCCATCTGGAGGAATGAGTAGTGAATTGCAACTCTTTCTGTTTTGCAGGATTTCTGGATTACATTGGTCACTGGTGGAGCGTTTCTCCTCGCCTCCATTGTGTTTATTGCCACGATAGACAAGTCATCACTTGCAGACACATCTGTGGTAAGTTGTCAGCTACTGGTATCTGAACGTCACAACTGCTTATGCTGAGCAGAGGTCTTGTGTGTGCCAGACAAGATGTCTACAGAAGCCACATACCACCTACATTGTCTTCACAATAGAAGTATGTAAAATGTATCAGAAGGGTTAGATCGTGTTGGATTTTTGTGTCTGTGTTGCCAGTGGGGATTCATCATTGTAACTGGTACAGAAAGTCATGTCACCAAATTGGGATGTGAGGCGGAAGCCTCCAGTAAGGACGACTGCTCTGATGATGACGAAGTGACCATTTCCCCTCACATTGTAGAGAGTTCCTCTCACTTCTTTTGTGTCTGGGATAGGCATTTCCCTTCAGGACACTGCAAAAATGTCAGGGCTTTCAACCAATTGCTATCCCGTCAAAATCTACAGGACACTGCAAAGATGTCAGGGGCTTCAACCAATTGCTATCCCGTCCAAAAACTGAACCGGTTTTATTCAGATTTGTCCTAATTTTTCCCTCTTCTCCTCCTAGAACATGCACCAGCTTTTTTCTTTTTTTAATGTTCCTGTAGCAGGAAACGGCTTTTATTACTCCGTGTGACATCACCAGACTTTTAACATTCTTGCAGGGGCAGCTGCTGGAAACTCAGTTGTTACTGACATAGGCATGCTCCCAGAACTACATCTCTCATGTATACAGAGTGTGGGCAGGTTCTTGGGAATCAAGGCAGCAACATTTATTTGCTGGAAAAGAAATCAATATATGCATTGAAGTGGAACCAAAAGGGAGAGTGTTAGGCAGAGTTTTGTAGTCCAGCAGGCAGGGCAGACTACACATGTTGAAGGAGAATTGTACCGTTTGGTACAGTTGTGCTTCATTTGCTTGTCTACCTCCCCTTAGGGCATCGCACCTGGACAAATACCTTCACCCTTCATCCAGTGATATTCACTGTGCAGATCCACTCAGCCTTTCGTCCAAAGAAATGCCCTGCCTGGCCCTCTTCTCTTGGCAGGACACTATTCGGACCCGGATCTGATTAAACAATCATTGCACTTGTGGGGATTGGTTTGTCTGGATTAGTGAGTTGGTTTGGACAGAATAGGGATGGAGATTAACGTTACTAGTTTTTCAAACTTTTATAGGGTTACTTTGCGATTTTTAGCTTTATCCCCTTCCCGATGATGATGGGATTATTCCGTCACGATCGTTCAGTTCATTAACGACTGGTAACATAATAATAATCCCGTTATGCGGTACAATGAGCGCTGGACCAGCGCTCACTGAGTTACTGCTGTTGCTGGGTCCCTTGGGGTCTGATGAAGACCCTCATCGGCACATTAGGTAGCCATGTGATCACTGCAATATCTAATCTGTGACACTGTGACAGCCACTGAGCTGGTTTGCAGCTCACTATGTTGTGTAGATGTGCCGACTCGGTGTGCTACAAACTGATACAAACTATCTCAGAAGATTACAGTATTCACCTCAGAGATACAAAGTATCAAAGCCCCTGTAAATAATAAAAAAAAATAGCCCCTGTTAAAATAAAATTAACAAAATAATGTTTTTAAAATGTAAACAAATTGTAAAAAGGAAAATATTTTTTTAAAATACGTTAAAATAAAAAATAAATAAGAAAATATAGTGCCGAGGAAGCTATTAGGCCTTGTTCACACCAAGCGCGGAGCAGGTGCAGACCGGATCAAAACTGCGTCCAATGTATTCCAATGGTATTTTTAGCTCCAGTTCACATCGCAGCGTGCGTGTCCAGAGCAGGTGAAAAAACTGTAGCAGGCCCTATTTTACCTGCTCTGGAATGCATCAAAAACGCATGCAAATGCCTGGAACGCACTGAAAGCACATGTTAAACAAAAAAAAAATATATATATATTTTTTTTTTTTGCCCGGAACGCATCAATAACGCGACACAACCCACTGCACTGCGTGTGCAGAAACCTGAGCGGATCTGCTCTGCATTTGGTGTGAACAAGTCCTGGGGAGAAACATTCCACATTCTAAAATTGTTCCACACTAATATTGTATTTTGTGAACTATAACTCTCAAAATAAACAAATTCCAGACATGAGATGCTCTCTAAATCAGGACAAATACAATTATTTATTATGAATTACTTTCTGTTAGCTACACTAATTATGCACACATTATTATTGCCAAAACTGTGAAAAGTGTTTTTTGTTTAAAAAAAAAAAAAAAGAAATTATACATGTATATGTCACATCAAATTAAAGCCCATTTTTTCCTTTAAAAAAACGGTATATAATATGTGTAGGTGCAATGAATGAGAGAGATGCTAATTACGGTTACAAAAATGGCAAAATTGCTCCGGTCCCCAGGAGTGAAAACAATGTCTGAAGCTCTGTCACTAAGGGGTTAAAGAGGGACTTTACCTATATCTTCAAAACAACAACAAAGGCACATTTAGAAATATTTAGTAGTGGCAATCTACAAACACATACTCCTAGATAATTGCCAGCTTTTTATTTTCTTCCCCATTCTTCTGACAGTGGCCATTTTAAATAAGGGCAGGCTACTAGAGCTCTCTTTACTCCCTGGAACTCTGGCACATGTGACTAGGACATGTGACCATGCACATCATCTCAGGGGAGGAAAATGCCTTTCCCCGAGATGGCATTAGATTACAGATGAGCTTTCCCAGCAATGCTCTGTGGAAGTAACCTTCCCAGGATGCAATGCTTAGGTACGATTACATAATTTGCGCCAAAGTGGACCAGGAAGTGGGGGAAAAGAAATGATAAGTAAAATATAAATATGTTTGTTTAGCTAATGAATGAGAGATGGTTTCATATCAGCATGTAGAGCTGTATGCCGATGTGATTTTTAGTCACAGGGGTCCACTTTACTAGCTATGGCTCCCTTACAGAGCTGAAGACTAAACACAGAACTGTTCAGTGACACCCCGGGCACTCCAGGAATAGACTAATGTTAGGACACATGAAATGTCTGAAAACATTAACTTTAAGAAAACAAGGTCTGTGTTGTTTGTATCTTCGTATTAAGAGCAATTAAGGTATTCACTCAAATCCTTTTGTTTTATCTTCCAGGCTTTCGGGTTCCTCGCATCCATTGCATTTTTAGTAGAAGTGTACTTCATGTGGAGAAGTGACTACTTACAAAGGAAAGAGAAGCCCAAGCAAGCGCTGGCTGCAAATGGTGGAGCCGAGGGGCAGCCTCTAACTGTTCCAGTCCAAGAAAACGTTTAATTGAATGTTTCATACACTCCACTACATCTATGCAACCCTTCTATCCTCCACAGTTGTATCCTCTGTATTCCGTCATGAGATTTCTGCTATCACAGGACAGCATTGCATCACAGAATCTGCTTGTGATATTTAGTTTTCTCCCTCGGGCCTCATTTATCAACATCTTTACAATAAGAACTGTCTGCTCTGTTTTCCATTGTAGGTGTGTATGCCATTACTTGGCCAGGGGTAAAAAAGGCAAGTTGTAGCTAAATGGGGCCCATTATAATTATGTAAATAATTCATGTGTGTTTCATAATTTGGCTCTTTTGTATCAAAAAGCTCAGCTGTTTAATGTGAATGGCACATCTTGCTTCCATGCGCAGACCTGTCTAGCTATATGTGAACTATGACTGCTGACTAAGTCAGCATCTGAGGCCACAAATGGAATGATAATTTGGGTCATCATGGCTTGTTTTGTCAAGAGCCAACCCCCAACCATAATGGAGATTTTAGTTCTTCTTGGTTCCCAGTAGGCTTTATGGTAGTTTTGTATCTCTGAGATATTTCAGTAGCTTGCTATTCCCACCATAATTCTCAGCACTACCTATCTGACGTGCCCATGTGCCTTGTGCTCCTCTAGTGTTCCCTTAATGTATAGCAAACTAGTGATACTCTATGGCCTTGTAGAAGCAAACTAAGACAAACTGCAGAGAAATTTTACTATTGGAACTAGGGGTGCACCGATATGAGTTTCTTGGTACTTGCCGATACCAATACCGGAAGTCCAATTAAGGAAACCGGGCGGCGTGTAATGACTCCTGATTAACCGGGTAAACCGGGCTCCATGCTCCCTCATCCCCAGGTGGCAAGGAAGCATGGGGACGGCTTTCTGGCCAATCAGGAAGTTGGGGGGAGGGTAATGACGTGCCACCTGACTTCGTGATTGGCCAACTTCCCGACCAATCAGGAAGTCAGGCGGCGAGTCCTTGCATGGCGCCCGGCTTCCTGATTGGCCAGGAAACCGGCTCCATGCTCCCTCCTCACCAGGTGATAAGGAGGCATGGAGCTGGTTTTCTGGCCAATCAGGAAGCTTGGGGGGTTGGTAATGACTCTTCGTCTGGCTTCCGGATTGGCTAGCTTCCCGACCAATCAGAAAAGTGGAAAGCAAGTCATCGGAAGCTGGCTCCATGCTTCCTCGTCACTGAGTGACGAGGGAGCATGGAGCCGGCTTCCCACCGGAAGTTCTGGTATCGGGAGCATTTGGGTGAGTACTCGCCTAAATAGATGGGAATTGGCACCGGTACTAGTATCGGTATCGGTGCATCCCTAATTGGAATCTCCTCTAGATTTCAGGAGGCAACCGGTAGATGGTAAAATATAAATTTGGGCTGGACTTTAAAGGTAATGGGCTAATTCCACCTTTTATACCATATTTTATGTTACACCTATATTTAGGGTGTACAATGAAACATGGTCACAGTCTGTGACCCCCCCTAATCCCCAAACCGCACT